CTTCAATTGGAGGAACCCAAAGAGGTCGACCTCGAGATTTGTTTATTCTCCTTGCTTTTTGGACACGCTGGTAAAGCACATTTCTTGTTCCATCAATTGGCAAACCCTGAGCTTCGAGTTCTTCCTTTAACTCTGATACAACCATCTTGCTTGCTGCTTTCGGCTTCAAAAGATTCAGTGCAGGACCTTTTATTATGTTCCGTAATCTCTCCATCACTCTCATGTAATCAGATTCTGATGCGTCTCCTAGAACTGGAAGACCTTCACTCTGTAAGGTTCTCAAGAGCTTCCTATGGTGAATTTTCCAATCTTCAAGGCATCTCTGTTTAAAGGATGTTTCAATAGGGTTTGAGTATATAAACCCAGAAGCATCGGGATCTAAAGGAGTTTTCCCTCTTCGTGGTACCCAACGCTTGCGCTCACCAGTAAGCCCCCCTTCCTCTATATATCTGAAAATGTTTACAGAATGCGAATCTTAGTATATCAAGACAACAACATGTCAAAAAAAAACACTTTACTTTCTTTCTGACAATTAGAACAGGCATTAGCGTATAACTTGTAAAAGGGAGGATAGAATCTGATCAACAAAATTCCAGTCAAACCACGCAGAACTCTAGTTTTTACCTCGCTAAATAATCAATCTCATAGCCAAGTTCAGCTTCTTCTTGCAATGGTTCAATCCATGAGCTGACTAATGTCCGATATTTTCTGCTCATAATCATGGCTCTTGGAGGTATAGGTTGGCTATCTTTGCGCATTGCATCTAAAGCATCAATAAGCTCAACAATTCTTCCTGGTTCAAAGGTAGAGGGTACCGTTTAAAGACAGTAAACTTACAAAGGAAGAAAAAAAAGAAGCATGTCACTAACACATGTCCTAAAAATCAACAAATATAACGCTCAAAGTATAAAAACAGAAACAAGGGAAATAGAGAACCATAATCATAAATTCTCACGATCTCCCAGAAGGTGTTTAACATATGCCTCTGCATATTAGTATTTACACAGGTACAAGTGTATGCATACCTTCTCGACACAAAGCCCTGAGATACAACGAGAGAGGATCCTCAAAGTTCCCTGCATTGTGTAAAATTATTGTCCCTCCTTCAAAGTTTTTAAGAGCACGGAAATGTCTAATCGCTTCCTTCACAACACAATATTTCGTGAAGCACTCAACTAAGAGCCTGAAATGGATCGTTATACAGATCATATTAGGATGTTTACAATAGAACAGGTAGAAATGATTACAATACAAAATGAAATAAAGATTATCTTACGCATAAGTCTTCACATTTGGCTGCACACGTTTGTGGTCCTCAACCATCATTCCAAGTAATTCAGCAACATCCTGAACCCTGTGATTCATGCAACAGGCTAACTGAGAATTTGTCCACTTTTAAGAGAAATGTGTGCAATTAACACTCATAAGAATTACCTATCATATGACTCGGCTCTAGTGTAGGCTTGAATCACCGAGTTATATGTCTCAGTGTCAGGCTTCATAAATTCTATCAAATAAAGATTACATCAAGCCATGTCAAAAGCCATCACGCAACAACTAAACCAAACAATTGAAGCGGAAATTAGCTAAGAAAACATACAAACCTTCACCGTACTCCATATTTTCGAATGTAGCATAAGCTACCTCGGGAATCCCACATGTAGCCTACACAACAGAAGCAAAGAAGCAAAGAAAAATCTAGTTGATGTCAACAAAAAGACTTACCATTTTCATTATACAAAGAAGAAGTGTGTGTATACGTTCTAAAATACCATAACAAACCTGCACACTAAGAAGACAGTTGAAATGAAATGTTGTCGCCATTCTACCAGCTGCCTCCATTTCGTAAGAGATGTCTAAGGCATTAGAGTGATCTCCCGCTTTGCAATCTTCTTCAATCATCAGATCATAAAGCTGATCGGTTGCTCTCATCCCACCTCTAGCCCCCTTCAAGAAAACTTTGTTCGCATCTTCCAAGTGATTGATCCTCATGAGCTCCTCTATAAAAAAAAAACCATTATCCAATTATGAACGATTACTCAATACCCCAAGCATGGTAGACACAAAGCAACAAGAATTTGATATTAACACATAGTCTTAGTAGTAAGAGAAAATACCAACAAGAATGAGCCAAGCTTGACGAATGTCATAGTTAAGCTTTTCCATAGCGGCGAGGATTTCTAGGCCTCTCGTAGCATTTCCTTTCGAACCAGAGAGTCGAACCAAAGCAATCATTGTTTCAGGAAGCGGGCGTTGGCCTGCACCAAGCTCCTTTCTCAGCGAGTGCATCTGCAATCACACAAACACACACCAAAGAAAACTGTTCATCCTTCAGTTCAAACACACTCAATAAGCTACGAGAAAGAGGAAAGTTCCAATTTTGATAAAAAAAAAAAAAATAAGTCTTAAACCATAACTCAAGTTCTATAAAGCACAAGAATTCAAAATCGATATAGTTTTAGCTCCAGCATTGAATGACTTCTTACAGAAATAAAGTCTTCATCTTTAATTTAAGCTATAGAGAGAAGTATATACCGCGCCTTGTTCGTCGCCGTTAAGTGCATAAGCTACGACCAAACCATGGAAAGAACGAGGTCCAGGGCTAAGCCCAGCAGCAATCATGTCATAGATAACCTCAGTTACACCTGAAGTATCTCGATTTCTAGCTCGTTCCATAAGCTCGTCCATAAAAGTGAGGCGGAGACTCCTCTCCAGAGCCGAGACAGCTTCACCGCTTCCGAAAGACAAGGAGGAGTCATTCTCAGCTCCGTCGCCGCGCTTCTGCTTCCTCCTCCTCCTCGGCTTCTTCTCCGGTGCAGAAATTGAGCATCGAATGGAGGATAATCCGGCGGCACGACGAGGAATTGGGTGGATTGAATTGGAGGGAAACGGAGGATTGAGGAACAAGAGTGACATGTTTTTGGCCAAAGTCTGAATTTTTTTTTTACCGGGGAATGGATAAAGTGATTAGATTTTTATTTAATTAAAATGTAGACGATGATCATGTGCAGATCACGTGAGTAATTTTCTTCCAAATTTTATCGACCCAAATTGGATTGAACCAGATTTATAACAGTAGTCACAAAACCGAACTAAACCAAGAAAGATTTCCATAATCTGTACATTATGCGGTTTTGAGCTGGTCAAGGGCTTAGCCAAGCAGTGGTTTCACTCCAGCCTCCATGAATCCACATTATATTACACACCGTTTTTCTTGGATATCATTCATTGTTAAACCACTGGTTCCTGATTAGTTTATAAATGACACTATCATATATTTTCCAAACTATAATATCAAACAAAAAAGTGATAATAATTTTATTTACAAACATATGAAGATGTTACGGTGCCATATATACCTCTAGTATGTTAAATAGTTAAGTAAATAATATGAGAGAAGTATATGAAAACTTAAAAGTTTTTATTTTATTTCTCTAGTATGAAATATATGAGAAATAATTAATCATCTAGACGATTATTTATGATATTAACTATGATTTTGGTAGAAATCATGAGAGGGGGAAAGCATCAATTAATTGATTTCTAGATCATCATTCCCTCAAAAAAAAAAAAAAAACAATAACTAGTTATCTCATTTAGCTAAAAGGACATAAAGAAGCAGAGACAACAATACTACACTCTTGCTTATCTAAACAAATAAAAATCTCAAAAAGCTATGGTATATAGGAAATATTCGAACTCAATCCTTTGTTCTTCGGTTCAAGCTCCCAAGCATTTCCGAATCAAACCAATACACCTGAAAAGCCAACTAAAACATTGGTTTGCCTATATATAACAATTTGAACTTTCCAGAGAGTAGATGCTTTGAAAAGTGAAGTCCAGAGATAGAGTTAAAACAAAACAACTCAAAAGTGTAGAATATAATTCCAATCCAAACACTTACGGTCTTACATAATAAAAAATTTGAAGATTTAGAGTCAGGAGTTTTGCTGCAAAAAAATATATGTGGGTCACTTCAGAGAACAATGGGGGAAAAGAAATTATCTTGTAATTTTTTTTTCTTATCTTGTAAATTCATTCTACTGTTTTAAAAAGCTTGAAGTGTCGTATGCAAAAACGAATTAAAACTTATCTCAATTTCGATGTTATTTTTTCTTATTTTTTTCAAAACAGCCATCAAATAAAAAAATTAACATTTCTCTAAAAATGTCCAAAGAGATCGCGTCTTAAACTCAAGAATTTGAAATTCAAAATTAGAAGGAAAAAAAAAATACATTTTATGTTCTGATCTTCAACATATAGAAAGCTCAGCAGTTCCAAGACCCGTAGCTAGTTTCTTGATTTTTTATTTCCTATAAAAACTTTAATTATATATAGTGCAACATCAGTATATGTACTTTTGAATGTATAGCTCACAATGCTTAATCAAATTTAGTTAAGATGATAGAAGCCGTTGAAAATAGAATTTACTCTCATTTGCACAAACTTATCAAATCCAATGTAAGATATGATGTACCATATCTTCTTCTTTCTTTCTTTTTTGGTGAGCTGTACCCTATCTTCTTTATGACATATATATAGTATTGGACAAAATATTAATATGACGTATATATGCGGAGAACAAGAATAAATATACATTATATATATATATATATATAGCTAGCATACGTAAATTGGAATTGAAATAACATGAAATGTAATTTATTATTTTTTAAAAATAGAGAAAATAAAATACATATAGTAAAGTATTTATATTTTCATCCTTTTGGATAATATAAACAGAACATAAATATAGTCAGATTCGTGATATATATCATTTAAAAAAATGAGATTAACGCATAACAAGATTCTATAATTGAATTGACATCAGTTACATTACATACACACATTATCTCTTTTTAGTAAATGTGACAGTGATTTAGAATTTAGAGTGGATCACGAAAATATGTATGTATAATTATTTACTAATTGATATGGAGATTTGCATGAGCCTTACGATATGTAATATGAAGTATAGTAGTTCATTCAACAAGAGAAAATCTTATTTTACTATTTTATAAGCCACAAGAAACGACTTACATGATTTCATCTCGAACGATAAAAGAAATCAAACATAGATATGAGAAACCCTAAATTCCAAAAGAAACACATGCAGATATGAGATATATATGTCAAATACACGTACGTACGTGTAGGTGTAGACATTATTGTATTTTTTTCATGATTGGAAATATAAATCTATAATGACCCGTCATCCATCAAGCACCCAAGAGGTGGTTAATGTAAGGGAGGATCTTGTCCATGGTTAAGGGTTTTTCCAAGCAATGGTTAAGTCCAGCTTCCATAAAAGCCTTACGCTCTTCTTCTTGGTCAGCTAGTGACGTTACCCCAACTATCATTGACGTCACTTTCATTTCTCTTAGCTTCTTAGTTGTCTAGTTAAAACCAACAAAGAACATAAAAACTATATTAATTAGTGTAATGATGATCGAGCCAGTTAAATGGTTTATTTGGTAAGCAAATTAAGATCATTAATTGTACCGAAACTCCATCCCTCTCGGGCATTTCCTTATCCATTAGAATAAGGTCGAAAGATGCCCCGCCGCGGTGGAGAATCACTGCCTCCTCGCCATTCTTCGCCGTCTGAGAAATTCCTCCTATCCTTTTGATGATCATCTCGTGGAGTCTACGGATTGATGGATCATCATCGACGATCAACACGTTCAGTTTCTTCTTCACTTCTGTTGACTTGGTTTTCTCGATACCTCCCGTGGATTTGGTTGCCATCTTCGGTTTTTTTTTCTCTCCAAAATCTTCACAAAAAAAGAAGTATATATGTGAAAGATGAAATTGAACTATATGGAATTAACATGCGTGTTTATGTTTTTATGTGTGTATTCGTGTGTGATCATCATCGTGCATGTATGGTTTCGTGTTTGTAGATAGATGTTTATATATTACATATATTATGTATTACAAATATACTGAGAAAAAGTGGCTTACGATTTTAGATTCTAAGTTAAAAAAAAAATGAAATTAAACGATATGAAAATTAACATGCGTGTTTTATGTGTTTATGTGTCTGTGTGTGTGATCATATATCATCTTGCATGCATGGTTTTATGTTTGTATATAGATGTATCTTTATCACATATAAACATATCTATTTCATATAAACATATGTACAATGAAACAATGGCTTACGATTTTGGATTCTAAAGAAGATCTTGTGAATTGTGTTCTAAGAACGTAGCCATTGCATCGAATTTATAGTAGAAAAAGTGAAAAGAAAGCATATTTTTAAATGTCACAAAGAAAAGCATCTTTTTACATGAATTTGGCTGAAATGTAATCTACATTATTCCAACTCATGAGTTGTTTAACAAACTAATATGAGAACAAGTAAATAAAAATGGTGAACAAATTTAAAGAATGTATAAGAAACATGAGTGAAAATGAAAAAAATATATCTTTAATTAATTCTTCAAGATCATAATAAGATTCTATGTTCTTTTTATTTATTTCGTTCATATCGTTTATAAGTAAACTAAAGAAAGTATGTTACTTGATATTATAGACATAAGAAATGTAATCAAGTTTAGATACTTTCATTCTTTTGTTTGTTGGGTTTAAAGGTTTTGTTGAACGGTTGTAAAATCATTATCGAACCCATCTGCTAATATAGAAAGAAGAATATTCTCATGAAGTACTTTATAAAAGCATAGAAGTTCATGCTTAAGCAAATTAAGCATACAAGTTAACCCATCAAAATCTACTACTTTATATGTCAGTAGTGTTCAATTTCGTATTCGTAATGCCTTCTTATGAAAAATGGCTTATGTACACTCACGAAAAAAGGAAGAAAAAGAAATAAAATCATACTTTAGGTTTTCAAAATATATCTTTACGCATTACGTATTTGTTATTGTCTACTCCCTCCGTTTCGTTTTAATTGTCGTTTAAGGTTTTCTCACACATATTAAGAAAAACATTAAATTTTCTGTTTTACCCTTTATTAATATATTTTATAAAAAAATTCATTGGCCGAAACATTAAAACAGTAGGGATAAAACTGGAATTTTCACAAAACATTTGCATCGAAAACCTAAAACGACAACTATTATGAAACAAAATTTTAACTCTAAAACGACAAATAAAACGAAACGGAGGGAGTATTTGTTTTATCGTGCATTTGTTTTTCAACAGTTCTACCTTTTTGTAAATGTGAGATAATTTGAAGATATTTTTGCTCGAAAACCAAAATTTCATCAATCTAATGAGTGGATGTGGTACTCAATTTTTGTTTTTTGATTAGCCTTTTCAAAGTTTAGTAGCCCATTGGGCCCAATACTAATGAGGCCCTAAATTTCTAATAAATCTAAAAGTACACACACTGGCCCATTAATAGCTGAAATGTCTTACTTTACTGATGAACTTTTGGTACCTTCTCTGAATGTTGTATTAAATTTTAGTGATTTATCCACAGGTAAAACTTCACAGACTAGAGTTATTTTGCCATTTTCTTTCTTTTGGTGTCAAGAACTTCAAGAATATAGTAATTAAATGCTCAATACCTCAAACTATCATAATAAGTTCGTTTGCTGTTTTTATAAACGAGGCATGGCAAAATGTAAAATCGGCTTGTATGGTTTGACGCTATGATAATTGATAAGGGTCCATCAATAAATGTCAATAGTGAAAGAATATACTTCTCTATGTCTCTATTAAATTTTAAATACAAATTTCACCCACTTCACCAACTAGAACTCAATTCCTTTATTATTATTCACATTTCAATGTCTGCGGAATACCTCAACAAACTTTCTTCTGTACTCTTCCCCTCCTTCACATATTAATGATCCATTACCACAGTAATGTATAGCGACAAGAATTTTTTTGAAAAGTACAGAGACACATATCATTACAATAACATGCAACAGTATAGATATTTCGTGTATATAATATAGTCCGGCAAAGAAATAAATAAGAGTTAAACTGTGACTCCTCATATTTAAAAATAGACTTCTTTTGACTCCAAATTAAAAGGAAAAGACTGTGGCGACGATTGTTGAGGATGATGTCCGAGGAACTGCGTTTCCAAGGCATGTCCGAATTTAGTTGTATTTTTTCAGTTTAGTAATAAAGTTCGGGGAGGCATTGCCTCCCTATGACACACCAAAAAAAAGGAAAAGAAAAAAAGTTGGTTGCGTTTTTTAACTGGAGAGAGTTAAGTCATGTGCTGCCACTCTTAAATTTTCTCACATATATCATTTTTGAGCCCAAATGCATCATTTGTCGCACGTGATTTCGCCATACCATCATAATATCGATAATTATTTTTAGTAATCAATTTTCTTAAGAGCTGCGAGAGTTTATTACTCTTCTGAACCTATATACAGAATACATTACATTTAGAGCAAATAATTAATGGCTCATGTTGACCGGAAACAATTATTAATGGCTCATAAGTCATACCCTTTTAAATGATTAATGTATTAATTGAGATGAAACCCTCAATAACTCTTTGTGTATGTATGCTAATCTTTTTGTTAGTGAAGTATCGTTAATAGCCATGAGTTTTCATTTACCATGCATGCATTTTGGTTGGTTTTATTTGTGTGTTTTGGACCTTTGGTTATATAAAAAAAAAAATAGTTAAGTAGACTGAATCAATGTGGATTAGGTTAAAAAAAATATGGATTAGGTTTATGATCTCTGTTTTGGTTTCAATCGAGTAGATCCTCAATTTTCCATAGAGAAAAAGTTTATATTATTTTCATAATTATATATATAAAAGACTCGTTTATCAAATATAACGCTCGTAATTCATATTAACTATATAGATACTGTTGAATCAATCATCTCGAGTAGAAAAGAAAACCATATAACAATCACTCCAAGTCTCCAAATATTATATGATAATTGGCACACACACCAAAAAGGACTAAACTAAGCTAACCAAGATACAACAGATCTTTTTCAAAAAAAAAAAAAAAAAAACAAGATACAACAAGCAAAGGCATCAAACTACACGACCGACAATAAAAACTCTCTTGCATGCTTAAACTAATTGTAGCCATCAAACTTATTAATCAACACAGTAATAACAATGCAAAGTACCAATGGAATGACCTTGACATTTAGTTGACAGAAATCACTTAAAATTAGATTCTAGAAGAATCCAAGAGCATGGCGGTGCTAAGATTCATAGGGTGCATATACTTGGAGGAACCAGTCAGGATCTGATTAACGATGATCCTATTGGCTTTCTCTGTCGGATGAAACGCATCCCAAAACGCATATAAGTCTCTATTCGGACACAAATTCGAGATTGGTGTGCATAGTCCTATGCCATTGTATGGTCCTTGTCCACAACATGCCACCTTCGATGTCACAAACCCTACACATACACCACACAAAATTATCAAAATTTAAAATTTTAACACATGTCGAATATATTATGTCCAGAATCCTGACATATAAATGCTTACAACTACTATCTAGCTATAATCTTTTATGAACATTTTCGAGAGAGATCGATCATGAAAAAAAAAAAAAAAGTACCCCATTCAAATTGAACTATTTAAAGACCAGACAGGTCTTCTTGTTAAACATTTCTTTTTGAAATGATACTGATGATGTATAGAAACCAACACATACGTATTAATTATATATCATTATTACAATGTTTTTAGTGAAAAGTGTGAAAAATCAATTTTGTCTATAAATGCTATTAACATCTATGAAAAGATGGTCCTACAAAGTGGTCGTGCTCATTTATAAGTTTTCGTACAACTATATATAATTACTCCAAACAATTGGTCCTTTTATGCTTATATCATTAAGTCTTATTGGACCAATTTTTGATAGAAGTGTTACTTTTTTCTTTTGAAATCAGTAACTAAACCCTTTCGATATTTTTCAACTATTATTAAACATTTATATTTATAACCAATTACCAAAAATAAAAGTTATAAAGAGATGGGTTATAATTACCAAATTGTTCAGGATTAGTTAGATAATCCATGTTCATTTGATAGGCATTGGCTGCTACAAAAACGTCTTGACCAATCTCAGCATTGACTGATGCGATCAAATCAGCTAATCGCGGATTGAACAAAGCGGCTGCTGTTTGGAGGGCGCCATAGCACTCGCCATTGCGGCTATGCTGAGCCAGTTCCGCGGGTGCACATCCCATCGCACCAGTTCCAGTTACTAAAACTCTTCTTGCTCCCAGTTCGTAGAGTTTCTTTTTCAATGAAAATCAAAGAAGAAAAATATAAGCATGCACTATGAAAGGAGAACAAAGTACATCATTAAGTTATTGTTACATTAAAAAAAAAAGCTATTAAATTTTCCTCATCATTTTTTTTGTAAGTTATGTTCCCTCTTTTCGAGAGAATCATGACATTAACCACATAGTGACATAGCAAAATAAATTATTGAGGGGTCACTTATCAAAATGCAATTTCCTATAGTGAGACAACAATTAATAAATTATACTAGTAAATGATAATGCAAGATTCAAGATTCCATGATTTTAGCTAATTTAGTGTAAGCCCCCAATTTGTTACATGACACTATATAATTCAGTATACACATGAAAATAAAATAGAACTAGAATTGTTTTTCTACTTACTCTGAGAATCTTTCCGTATTCGGAAATGAGATACACAACGTAGTCTGGTAACGCGAATTGGCGAGAACGAGCTGAAAACGGAATTAGATAATAATTGTTGACGAAATCATTACCACCGAGTGTGATTAGGACAAGAGCTTGGTTAACTAGCTGTTGTGTAGCTTCTGGTCCGATCAATGCACTCACTCGTTGCTGGTACTGTTCGAAGTATTCCATCTGTTTAGAAATTCTAATTATGTTTACCTGCCAAACAAGAACATAATTAACAATGAGCTATAAAACGACGGCGTCTGAAAAATTAAAACCAGGCGAAACGACAGCGTTTGAACTCAAAAAAGGACACGTCATCAAAATATTAGTGTTAGAAGACTAAATTAGCCTTCTTGTTAACAATAGTTTTCATTGAACTTTCAAGGATAATGTCGTCAATCACGTGTTTTTGAGTTTTCACTCAGTTACTGAGAGTAACCTTTTCGTGTTTTTCGTTTTCTCAGGCAATAGTGCCCTCGCCACTAGAGTTAATAAAGAGGGTAAAAACGTCTTGTCGTGCATTCATATCCCAACACTTAAATGCGTTATTTAATGCAATAATTTTAAAAATTCT